TGTAGCATTAGTTGATGTTGTATAATTGGATGGTGGAAGCATCAGTATCGATCGTGATTCCCCATTTCTTCAGTTTTCTTTGATTTTTTCTTCTATCCATTATATATGCCTGTCACTGTGGAATGACAAATGCACCCATGTAGCTGTGCTAAGACTTCAGTTAATCAGAAATAATCCAACACCAATTAAATTGGTAATGATAATCAATACCAATTCCAACCCCCACTGTCAGGGAGTGAGGTGCCTGCCACAGTTCTTAGTTATATCATTTATCTTCTTGTAACTAGCGTTGTTCAACAAAACTAAGAATCAACGCTTCAGAGATACACAGGGACGATGCAATGGAAAGGTTTAAACCAAATGAGAAAGGGATTGATACAACCAGGTGTGGAGGTGAAGTGACTGACACAAAATAGGCATGAGGAAAAAAAGGGGGGATGATAATACATAAATGAAATTGCTTGAGGAAAGAAGTCAGTTAATCATTTGGTGGTATATTACAACTACATTAACAGACATGGTGTGGGTTTTGTCTTTCAGTAAAGTGCTTAGACGTGATCATCTTTGAGAAGAGAATAGGGATAAGTAGTAACCTACTAGTCCCAGAGGGTCAGCAGGCAGGGGGAATTCAGAGGTTTAGAATCCACATTACAATAGAGTCCAGAAGGTGAGTTTGCAACTTCGTAGTTCAAAACTGAAGCATTGCCAAAGAGTAAAAACAAGAGACCACGTTAAGAGATTTCTCTTTCAAAAACCTAGCACATTTACAGGAGCTGGCCAAGTTACCAGTGGAGATGGTTGGCAGCCTGACAACAAATTCTGTTCCTTAAGAAGAGGTCTTAACCAGTCCGGATGTCCAACACCTGTGCAACTAGGAGACAACCAGGCTCCACCCAGACACCACCCATGGTCCACTGCAGGCCTGCTCAGCCCGGCATCCCACCCAGAACATTCCACACAAACCATGAAAGCACACTAAAGCAAAATGATAATAAGCCAATGCATCATAATTCAGCTGCAATAATAACCACACAGCTAACTCCCAACAATCCTATCATGTTTCCAATAAATACATTTTCCTGTGTAAAATATATTCCTTTTTTAGCAAAAGATAAAGGGGTGCACTTTTGTTAAATCTTAGTTACATAATATTAGAATTTAGGTGATGTATTTGCATTTCCATTTTAAAAGAAACCAAACATCCATAACCAGCAAGTCAGCATTTGGTCTCATTATTGTATTTTCCTTCCCTTTGCTTTTTGCTTTATATGTCTTTTCTTTCATTGCAGTAGGAAGCATTTATCATCTCTTTTGTCAAATTCTGTTATTCTTCACCTTAAACTTCCATTAGGATTCATCAGTCATGTCCACAGAGAGGTATTAGTCAGCTTCCAGGCCTGGCTGTTGGAGAAAGGTCAGGAAATTTGTCTCTTCCTCAAGTGTATTTTCTCATCTATGGTTTCTGAGGAACAGTGAGCCATGATGTTAAAGGCGGGCTGCAGCCTCCACTCCATCATGGCAGACATCTCAATCCGTTACCACTGTTAGCTTTTTTTTCAACCACATTTACAGCAGCGCAGGTTTTCAATACTGATCAGTCACTGCTCTTTTCCCCTCCATTCATCACTACCTCTTCCATGATGCTTTTTCTTTCTTTTTCATCCTTCTTTCTGTTACTTCTACAGTAACCTGGCTTCACTCTATGCTTTCCCTCTTCATCTGGCACTGCCTTTTCCTCTCAGACTGAACAGTCTATTTATTTCTACCTAAATTCTTTTCTCTTTCGGTTTTCCCTTTTTCCCACCTTTTTTCCTATGTCCTATCTTCTTCATTGTCATCATATGTCTAAAGGCTGAGCTGGTAATCTACTGCTCTGATTACATGGGGCATGCATGAATGATAACCAGCCTTATTTCTTGTCATGGTGCTGAGACATGTTTTTACTCATTACTAGTTGTGGGTGATGAATACCTAGTACAAGATGAGAATTAAAAAAACTACAGTAATCTAGAGAAGAAATAGTCTTGATTTTCTGTGTTGTGAATCTAAGGTTTGGTTTAATATGAGATCGAACGGCATGTGACAACGCTGCTAATATTTTTCCACATAAACAGCAGTCCTTTAAAGCATGATTCAACATATAACAACACCTCCTCTCACGTCGCATGAGATGTTTTAGATCGGAGGAGGAGTCAAACTAAATGTACACTCATGGCACCTCATGTCAAAATAGAAATGTCTTCTAGAGAGGCAGTAGGTCTGTCACTGTCCTGAAGTGGCCTTTTCATTTTCATTACTAAATGAAGCACCTCATATTGAACAGCTGTAACACAAAGTACCACACGAAGCTTCATTACTGACCCAAATGGACAATTAAAAAAATTAATTCAGTGTGTATGTCCATCTTAGAGCTGTTTTGCACCTGTTTTCTGACTAGATGCCGACACGTGCTGAAAAACCAGCCACGCCTAAAGTTTTATGTTTGTTTCTGACAAAAATTTTCCCAACTTAAAGAAATGGGTCCACAGCTGACAATGTGAAAACATATTGGAAATTCAAAGAGCATCAGTAGGTTATTCTAAAAAAAACTTAAGATGCTTAGACTAAAATGAGCTCGAATTAAATGAGCACAACGTAAAACGAAATTCTTGTGGTAACCGTTTAACTAAAGTTGATATGACAACCACAAGTTTCGCATGAAAGTGCACGGTGTAACAAATAAAGCTGCTGCCTCCTTGCCTGTGGCTCTACTGTCAAGTAATTGCTTGCTGCTGTGCGGTTTATCTGAGATGAACATCTTGATATCTTTTTCCTCTACTGTCTTCAGCACATCATATTCCCTCTCCCCTAATACTCTTCTGCAAAGTGATTAAAGTCTTAGGATATACCATTGTGTGAACTTCACTTTCAGCATTTGAAGAGAGTCACTCAAACATACTGTGTATGTGATTAAAACTAGAGTGACAGGTGTGTAGTGAAGTCTGTGGGAAAAGTGCCAAAGCCCCTGTTATCCATTAGTTTAATTAAATTACCTTAATTTGATACATGCTATTTCATGCCATCGCCCAATTATATATGCTCTTTTTTGTTGGTGGCCTTGAGCAACAGAGTGTTTGTTTCTGTATTTAACCCCCTTTTCTCTCTCTCCCCCTTCTCACCACAGTATGCACGCACAACTCGAAATCCACTCACTTCTGCAAGCTGAAAGTTCCGTTCCACGTGAGGTGACAGTGGTAGTCTTTCTAAATCAAGCACATTCATTTATGATTAAATATTAACTTTGGTGTTTTGCAGTTGAATATTTCATGTTCCCTGGGGTAATTGAGGAGTTTAATGTTTCATTCCTTTCACGTCATTTAGCCTCGAGATTGTTTGTCTTCCACAATATTTCCACCCGACCTCAACTTTTCTACTTTCCTATTTGGCAGCTAATGTATTTTTCCACAGTCTGCTGAATACAGTATTAACTTTCCTTAATGATCATTGGCCTTTGTTCTTCAAATAATAATTTGCTATGAAAATCAGCTACTATAAAGCCTTGCCTCGCCTGTTCCCCTCACCTCACTTCCTGTCTTGCATCTGCTGTAGCCTCTGGTGGTCTCCTAGAAGGTAGCCGTGTCTTATGAGATGTGTGTCTTATGTTGGGCAGTGGTTGAATTTCCTTTTTTCTTTTAACCTGTGAGCTCCTGAGACCTTACATGAAGCTTCCTGGGTAGTGAGTGGCCTTTAGCCATCGGTTGTTTGAGTACTGATGAGCCCGGCTAAGTGAGGTTCTCACCTTTGCTGGTTTTCCATCTTGGCCAGGCCAATTTAAATTTAACCTACAGTTTTTTTTTCTGCTGTTCTCCTGCTGTATGGATCCAGATGCTTATATTCAGGTAACTGTTGTGAGTGTTTGGTTGTTGTGTTGAAGCAGAGTTTTGCCTTTCTGAAGTTGTCTCCTCCTATTGCATGAACTTAAACAGGCACCAGGTTTCGGTGTGGCAATTTAATGTGAGGTTTGCTGTGTCACGCCAGGGATGGCAAGTGGTTATATTCCTTAGCACGTCTTATGGTAATCAGCTTCATCATCAGTAGCCTCTGCTCCTTATTTGCTGTCATTGTGGACTAATAGTTCTTTGGGTCTACATTCATAGGGAATTTTTGGCGGTCTTTGCATGGTTTCAGTAGTATTGCAATGTTAACAAAATTCCTGTTTAGGATTTATCAACTACTCTATTTGAACTATTACATGATTTTGTGAAATGTTACATTTTGTCAACGTTGTCATTGAAAAATGGTTTTGGCTGACCTAAAAGTGTTATCTATGTGATTTGCTTTGTATTAAAAACATTTGATAAATTGGTTAGGGTTAGGTTCCAAGGTGTATTTAGCTTTATCACTCAGCTGTTCCTTGAAAAAAGATTTTGCTCCTACCTTTCTATATTTCTATAAATGTCTATTTTCCCACGTGTCTGGTATTCAAATCATGTATGCATATGATTCTGCTGGTGTTTATACAGCTTACAGTTCACCAGGGAGGTAGGCAAGAGTGTTGGAAAGCTAGCATTTACCTCAAATGTAAAGTGCAGTAATGTTTAATGATATTATCTGTTATCTGTACAAAACAGGAAACGTTAAGATAAAAGTTGTTTGAAATCGGCAAACATCTAACTGCTGTAGCAAGCTGTTCACCTAACATCTGGTATATAATCAATGGCTAGTATAATTTGTGATGGAACTATGAGTGTTGGTGCTTTGCAGAAAATCACTTCTATAGGGACTAATTATTTGTTTGCTGCTAAAGCTGAGTGATAAACAACCTAAAAGATCCAACATGAATAAAGGTTTTGATTATTTGCATAATTCATTTGATAACATGTTTACATAAATAAACATTAAAATAGGAGGAGAATGCAACCAAAAGCCACCAGTGTAGCTCTTCATTTGCTGTGAGAAAGGTGCATTATCCAGATGATGATAATGAGATCCTGTAATGGTTATGTCCCAATGTATTTCAGACAGAATAGACAGACAGAAACAGAAACATACTGAATTAAGTACATTTATTTTATTAATTGAATCATTGCACATTTACTGAAGTGCAGTCATACTCAATGTAAAGGTTGAAAAAATACAATCTCGGTCATCTCTGATGTGATTCTTGGTGCTTTCATGTTAATTCCTTGAAAATAAAGTTGAGTATAGGACAGATAAACCACTCTTGAGAGAAGTATTCTCTGATAGCTGTTTGAAGCAATCACTGAGAAACGGGGCAGCACAACCTGTCAACGTCAGAGATTCACTTCATTCATTCATATTTAGGTAGTGTAGCTTTTAACATTATACATTGTACATTTCCCTTTGTCTGTGTAAACACAACTGCGTCTGTTTTAAAATCTTTTAAATATCTGTAGAGTATAACATACTGCACTACTCTTGCGAAAACATGATTTACCACCTTTCAGTTGGCACCTAAATAATCACTGACAGCACCCTTGGGCAGTAGCTGTTTGTGCATGCTCCTTACCCTACAGATACGTCCCTCATTTTTCCTTTGAGAAATGCTCACTAGGTGTGCAATACCTTTTTTAAAATTAAAAAAATAGTTTGGTTCATAAACTGTACACAATAACAAAAAACAATGTGCTTTTCTCCGTATAATATATAGTGCTGAGTTTAACATTTCCCTTTTCAACTGTAATTCCACTGCAACCATCATCCTTTTTTGAGATGGGCTGAAATCACAGGGTCCATCATGGAGGTCTTTCTCCGTGGAACTTTCTGTGTCTGTACCTGCTGTTCTTTTCCTTGGTCAAGTTAATACAGGCATTGTGCTTGTTGCTCTGTAGGTGGTTCCAGTACTTGATGAGTTCATTGGGGTGGAACTGATGGGAGGTGATCAGGTGGCTGTACTTACAACTAGAGTAAGAGACACGCCAATGGTTGAAAAGGAACTCATTGGGGGGGGGCACTGGGTCGATGCGTAGCTTTGCTAGGCAGATCCCCACATACACATCCTCCAGGTGCAGCCTGCGTATGCTAAGTGAGGCTTGATAGATCAGATCTGCCATGTCCCCTGAGAACACGTACCCGGTGCCTGAGCAGAATATTGGGTAGCGCTCACTTGGATAAACCTCTGGTGGCATGTACCACTTGCTGTCCTTGTTTCGGTTTGGTGCGTAGCCCCTCATCAGATAGCCAGTGAAGTACCTCTGCTTGGGTGGCATCTCGGGTTTCAGGAGCTTTTGGATGAGATACTCCGTATTGACGAACATGTCACTATCAGTCTTCATTACATATGAGACATGTGGACAATAGGTGGCCACCCAGTTCATGCCCATTAGGGTTTTGATGGTCAGGTTGTAGTAAGTGTCCTGATAATCTTGCTGAATGATGTCATGGTAAACACGGCTTTCCTCCTCTATGCTGCTTTGAAGGAAGGTGTCTGAGCTCTTTCCTGTGCCGAGCAGGAATAGTCTAACGAACCCCAAGCCCATCGCCACACTCTCATTTCCCCATGTGTGACGGATTGCGTCGCGCGCATCGGCCTGTCCAGGTTCAGCAGCAATAAGAAGGATGAGGAAAGGTTTGTTGTCCCTGCATTTGAAGGGCTCGTTCAGGATGTAGCGATAGGGCTGAGCACTGAGTTTCCCTCCTACACCCATCTCCTTCTGTAAACTATTGTTCGTGCTCATGGAGTCCCCAAGCCCCATTACACCCGTCTTGGTTCCTCCTCCGCCTCCCCCTCCTCCGGCCTCTCCTGCTACCCCATCTGCCTGCTGAGAGCTGAGGTTAAGAAGAGGCTTTGGTGCTATATACCCTGTCTCCCTCCACAGGCTCCTCAGGGAGCTGCTCTGGTTGGCTTCTGCCTTGGGATTGCGGAAACCCCTGATGGTGTAACTCAGTGGATTTTCACGAGGTCCACTGCGTCCCGACAGCCAGTCCTGGTGACTGAAAAATAAAAAGAAAGTGAAGAGCAGGGCCAGGGAGAGTAAACCAGCCACATGGGTTCGGAAAAGCGACCGCTTGATGGTCCAGGTCATCTTGATGGAACAGCAGTGCCGCCGTCTCCACTGCATGATGCAGATCGGGGGCGCACAAGGCAGCTGCTGCTGGAGAACGGGTGCCGGCGACAGTCACATGCAGTCACCTCAAACATGTGGTTGCCAACGATACGAGGTTTATCTGAGCTGGCAGATGGGGTTGGAGTGGGCCTCCTGGTGAAGTCAGGGGAACATTTGCACCCCTCGGTGTGGCATGGAGCAGGGCTGAAGGGACTTTTGGTGGAGCTAAGAAGGCGGCAATTGTCTGGCCAGGGAGGCTGCTCCCTGGCTCTTCTTTGGCACTTCAGACAAACACTGGGTCATGATCTGGGTCTTGTTTCCTTCGGGTTATGATGAGGGTCACCTCCTCTGTGTCTGCTCTCTCTAATCTGAAAGAAGAAAAAAAGGAAACTGAGAATATAGTCTGGGAAGAGCTCCAAAAGCCCTCCTATTCACTGCTACTGTGGTGCATGTCAATTATCTGAGTTGTAAATTGTTAGGGAGTTCTTGCTCCCTCTTTAGTAATATTTTGACCTTTTGGGTAAAAAAAGATGGACCAACTACTGACAGTTTGCATGATATAATGCATTAAAGACACTTTGTAAAACATTCTATCTCCAAGGCTTCAACTTTTTGAATATTTTTTCTGCCTGAATTATTTTTCCACAACCTGAAGAACTGACTTGGTATTAATGTAATTATATGTCGTTACAATAATTTGTCAATCTTTTTTTCTTTTTATTCAGCGAATTCTAAATAAGAGGGTAGTGCTTCATGTAATGCATAGGAGCACTACCAGACAGAAGGGGATGGCCTAATCGGTTTGATGTGCTAAACGTCTCTTCCAATATTATATTATTCTTTTATATATTTTTTCTTGTTTTGGTGGTTGCTGGTCTTCTTGGAGATTGAAAAATACCCTCCTGTGTTTTGTGTTTTCTGCTCCGTTGTGCCAGCATTATCATCATTTACATGCTCACACCTTATCGTGTGACACAGGAATTCAGAATTAATTCATTCCAGATAAAAAAAATGGCCTAATTACACCTCCAATGGAGATGGAACCCAACATGCTAAAAATTCATTTTTGTAAACTGATTGTGCACTTTAAAAGAAATGGAATCAATGTGACAACCCTGTTCAATATTTCAGTGAACAGGGATGAAGAACACGACAGAGGCTGTAGCATTTTATGAAAGGAGATTTAAAAAATACAGTACATATATGTGCTTCTTTAAAAATAACAGTGAACAGACTGTCTCTGTAAAGGGAGAGACAATTATTTCTCAGATTATTCTAATGAGATACAAAATGTGATATTTCTTAAAGAAAAATTACCCAACTTTATAACCTTATGCAAGGACAGAAAATAATAACATTTGCTCTATCAACTCAACGCCCTCTCACAGTGAAGAACAATAAACAAAAAACGAAATGCAAACTTAATACAAAGGTGTTAGTGGAAAGTGTAGATTTGAGTGTGGAACATGGTGAGATGGTGGATTCTTCTTGCATGTCATTATTTAGCTTATCGCCTGGGGCTAAAGCATAAATTGCTGGTTTGCTCGACGTGATACCAATGAACGCAACTCTGAGCCACATGAGCGACAAAGTGTCATCAACCCCCCACAGCACATCAACAGCAAGGGAGGAGATCCTTCTGTCAAAATGACTCTTCAGAGTCCAGCAGGTAATGGTGCCCAACCTTGAGCCAGCCTCTGGCGGTTTAAAGAAAAAAAAAAGTTTATCATCATTCAGCTTCAGCTTTGCACTCCTGCTGACTGCCGTGTTGGAATCATACAGGCTGATCTATCTTTTAAAACAAAATACTGACCAACACTGATATAAGGATTCAGACAGAAAAACATGTAGACCATCACATCGGCGGTCCATTACAGGGTTGTCATTCAAAGCGCACGAAAAAAAAGTGATCATACTCAGTTCACACTTACTCCCTAAATCTCTACAGAAAATAATCAACATTTCAAGATGATTGTGTTCAATTAAAAAATTTCTGCTATACTTTGTTTTCATAAAAACTAAAACAAAATATAAGACTGAATTAAAAACTGAACTATTTCCATGTAATTCATACATAAGATGTTCACATTCTATCCATACTAGACACATTCATCATCATGGCTGTGTATGGAAATGGAGTGCCAGCAGAAGCAGTAGCAGAGTCTCAGCATCCCTCCACCCAGAATGTCTTGCTGACTGCCCCTCTAGTGTATTTGCATGCTTTTAACTTTCGCAGATGAAGAACAGCAGATCATTATTTTTATTCAATTATTATTTGGTGGCAAAGTATGAGTGGGATTTCCCAAACTTCCTATATTTCCCACTGTGTTTACTCATTCATCATGACAACTGACAAGGAACACCATAACCTTTTCAGGCATGTGTGCTTACCCCGTGCAAGCAATTATGAGAAAGGCCGGCGCCAGCTTTGTTTTAAAGGTTAACATACTTTACATCAAAGCACACCCTGTGCTTGCGAGATTTCTGCTGTGAACCAAATGAACATCTAGTTACACAAGCTCTGGTGAAGAGTGCTTCCAAAGAAGCATAAGCGTACACGCATGGATAAAAACACACACAATAACACAAGCGCGCTCTAATACATACAGTCAGCCATGATTGGCTTTGTTTTGTTGTTTTAAGCATAATGCCAAGTTCACTGAGACATCAGACATCAATTTTTACTTTTTAGTAGCACAGTTTAATCTGCCAATGCTTCTCCTCATTAATTCATTTTCTTGCCTCCCATCAATGTCACTACTATGCAAGCCAATTAGTTACACTAGCGCTAATTAAAGCCCCAGTGATTTTGCAGCGGTCAATAATCAGAACGAAGGCTGGCGGAGTGGCACATAGTGACATATTAGGCATACATTTCCAACGACTGTGTTACCAAATCAGCATTAACACTAAAAGGTAATGTGGTGCTGCAAGTTTTGAAAAAGATGGTGGTGGGGGGTGGGGTTCTGAAAAATGGATTTGCCTGGTTCTCAGTTTTCTTTTTGTTTCCACATCTAAAGAAACAGTTCGGCTTCTTTTCTGCCTCAAGAATGTGTGTAATGCATGCAAAATAGTCTCTGCCGCTGAAGATATGACTGTCATTCGCTAAAACACTGTGTTGTGTGATGGTGACACATTTTCCTGGGGAAAAATGCAGCTCCCATTTGTGAGCCATTTAGAGTAGCTGCTCACCGTAGATAGAGGTTAAATTCAGCTTTATTGAAACAGGCCTGACTGATTATGTGGCTGGCTCAGGCTCCCGTTTCACCTAATAACGCTGCCTAGAAGCAACAATCTTCATTCAACCACGACATGTATGATTTATTTTAATGCTGAGGTGATGTTTCTGAATTTGGCCTTAATCAGAGTCTTAAAAGCTTAGAGTTCATAAAGATTTAAGAACACATTACTCCAAAACAAAAATATATCTACATATATAATTATATATACTGTTTTGAGTGATGTAATGCCATTTCTTGTTAGGTTAAATTTACCCACTTTAAATCTTTTACCATTCATAATAAGTGGTCACTATTTTAACTAATAAACTGTGGTTATTGGCAATTTAATTTGTGACTGAAAAAACATGAATTGAATACATTTTACCTAAATCATCGAGGTCTGGGCAAAATTTGTTGATTTGGACAGGAAATAATGCCAGCATGGAGAGAAAAACCTGAACTCTGCTATATTTCTTTATAAGATGTGTCTCTGTACTCACTCTGGATCTTCATGGTGACCAAACTATAATCTAAGAATTTCTATTTCAGGTGTCTCTAACCATTCAATCAAACAAAAAAAAGACAAAAACGGAAGTGATCTTGGAATGAATGAATTAAAAAATAAGGCTATTAGGTAGTCTACAAATCCTTTCAATATAGGTAGCACACCTATACCCGTCTGAAGTTCATGAAATTAACTTGACTAGCAAATAATAAATCTAGTCAATGTATCCTACAACTTCTTCATACCCTTTCATTTTTTTTACTTTTGTTGGGTTTCTCTCAACTCACAGTAACAGCACACTAGTACTTTATGTTCTTCTCATCCAACAATTTGGCTCGGAATAGGATAAATAAATTCTGACAACACTATAGACCAAACATAGACAATAATTGAACCAAGTTTTATTCCTAACTGAGAATAGAAATTATCAAACCTCATATAAGAATAAAGTCTAGAGGTCCTGAAATATTTTTCAAAACACAGATTAAAATGTTTCAGTCTTTTGGTTCAAAACTTCTATGAAATAAAGTGGGCACACACTTCAATGTCCACCTAAACTGGAATAAACCCCACTTGCAGGCCTGCTAGGATGGTGCAGCGAGGAAATGTGATACCTTACTCCAATGCAAATTCTAGAATCTTAGAATGTCCCCTGTCCTTTAGTTGGAAAGAAGATGATGGTGCAGGATGTTGTCAGCTCCTTTACCAGTCTCCCAGTCCACAGCAATCAGCAGAAAAGTCATAGCACCATCATTTAAACTCAAAGTGTAGGCTCATCACTCTGGGCATAGCCATGGAAACTCCCATGCCGGAAACATGACTTAGATCTCCTTCTTTCCCGATTTAGCTTGTGGCGTTTTTCCTCTGGTGTGACTCAGCCCTACACGCCCAGCAAGGTTTTACATGGTTTTAGGACATTGAAGTGACTGTAACTAAACATTGGTGTTGGACTGTGGTGCTGGTTTGTGTATAACGCATTAATAACTTTATGGTCAAAGAGATAATGAATTTACACCTTCGTTGTTGCAACATTTTTAAAAAAGGAGGAATTTACCTAACGGAGTCGCTATCTAAATGTGTGAGTTTCTGACAAATCAGATCAATCAATCGCCTGGACACAATATAATATGTAATATGTAGAGGCTATATGCAGTGTTGGGGAGTAACGGATTACATGTAACGACGTTACGTAATTTAATTACAAAACAAGAGTAACTGTAATTCGTTACAGTTACAATGAGAAAATATGTAATTGAGTTACAGTTACTTCCGAAAATATTAAGAATTACAAATTTAGTTACATTTTTTTTTAAATATAAAGAAAAACCTTTGCAAAATATGCAACTCACTGATAGACGAAGCGTATTGATTTACTAATATTTGACTGTTTGGTGTTGATGCATGACAAACGTTTATCGACGTCTATGACCTAGCCTAGCCTAGCCTAGACTACCTAGCCTACCCAACTGTAGGTGACCAGACATCCTCTTTTTCCCGGACATGTCCTACATTTCAGACTAGGGTTGTCAAAAGTATCGATACTTAAAAAAGTATAGATCCTAAAATGTTGTATCCGGATACGACTGACCTGCCGTCGCTGCGCCCCTTGTCTCCGATTTATTTACGTTGTTTATGATCATTAACAAGACGTTAGCCTTGAACTGCTAGCTGCGGCCAATAGCTAATAATAACATGCTAAAATTAATCATGGGTTAATACTCATTAAAACCTTAAAGTAATCAAAAAGTAATTAGTTACATTACTTTTTAAAAGTAATCGAAAAAGTTACACTACAATTACATTTTAAACAAGGTAACTTGTAACTGTAACGGATTACATTTTTAAAGTAACTTACCCAACACTGGCTATATGTATACAGTCTGTTGAGTTGAAAGACTAAAATGTCAGCAAAACATCCATAACTCGACAGCTTCCCACACTGTCAAACTCTCACACCTGCTCAATCTTACATCCAGTTTCCTGTTCTGGTCTCCTCCCACTTCCTGGGTTTGGATGTAAACTGCTTCCTCTCTCAAATGTGAGCATGCTATTTTAATTACTTGCAAGCACAGTTCTTTTTACATATATTTATAAACATTAAAACACTTTTCTAACATAGTTTAAATTATCAGTCTTTATATGAACATATGTCAATACAAAACACTAGGATTTTGCACTGGGCTACAAAATGCAACAGAATCTCCTTTAACTCACTTGTGTTCCTGACCATGTTTCTGTCTCCTCATTACTTGCTTCAAAACAACATGACCTTTTAGGCTTGTTGTTTACGATCTGGTTTTACTGAAAAACAAACTGCCAAGAAAACCAGTAAAATTCGGGTAAAGGGTAGCGTAATTGCTTCTCTATTTCCTACTTTATGAGAGTGTAAGGTGATGAGGTGGGACTCCCAGTTTATTATTTTCCCTATTGGAAAGCAGGACTTGTACATTCACTACTAAAGTGCGCCAAAGAACATTGTTGATTGGAAAACTACTTTTTAATTAGTTAGTGTTTCGGCTTTTGAATTTGTGTTGCTGCTTTTGTATTAGCGTTGACACCTCCGGGCCACCGTACTTTCATCTAATCAACTCGGAACCCTTTCCTCAGAGATACATCTACGAATAATTTTCACCAGATGTTTTTCCCCCGAAGATTGCACTCTTCCCTCCTGTGCCTAAATCCTGCATCAGTCCTCCAGCAAATGATGCACTTATTTTGTTGAAAAAAAAGAAGATTGACAAAAACCTGTTTAATCCAAAACAGAGAGATGTGTGAGCTCTTTCAAATGCTGTACTGTCAGCTTCACCTCTGGCTGCTAACAGTCAACACTTTGTGTAAAAATGAGTTTGGAAAGGTGATATGGCAAGTGCAGGACAATTTGCGACTGGAACACAACAAACGACAATAGCACTGAACTCAAAAGCTGCTCATGTTTTAATTTAAACTATTTATTAAGAAAAAAATGATAAAAATATATTATATAATTATACATCTGCTGCATCAACTGTTCTAACTGTTCACAGCCAGCATGGAAGTCAAATCTCAAAGGATTTGAGATTTGGAGGTAAATCCTCAAACACATTATGCTAAATCAACGAACAGATTACTCAAACGTTATTTTGTGTTGGCAGAGTTTGTTTCCTCTATTTTATCATGCTAGTGGTTAAGATTATCTTCAACCTAGTTCATCCATCAGCGTTTGCTGCATTTTTCTGATGTGATTGAGTTTTTATCTCCATTCCTTGCTCCCTAAGGGCAAATGTGTCATTGATCTGAGTTTTCATGTCACAGAACACGATGACCCATACCCAGAACGTGACATCTATGATGGTATAAACAGTAAAAGAGCAAGCTGTTATTTGAATAATGTTTATAATGGCTATGCTTATGTTCATTTTGGTTAAACAGTTTCATGAAATGTTCAATAAATAAGAGGGTAAAAGAGGGAAAAAAGAAAAGGGGAATAGACTTTATGGAGAGAAATGCAATTGCGCTACAGAGGAACCAGGTAAAAAAACAAAAAACAAACAAAAAAAATCGATAGTCTGGACAGGATCACTGACCCTGATGCACTGTCTCCATCCAGATTGTTGCACCTTGCAAACTACAATTCTAGACTGAGTAAATGCTCTTTTTGTGAGCTACAAATGTATAAATCCAGGGAAGAGCTCAAACTGTGGCAGTTACTGTGAAAGTCTATAAGACGTGCTAATTAACAGGCTGGTGTTGATCTGATTTCCTGCTAAACGTCACCCTCTTTTTATGCAATTAATTCAAGTAATCGCTTACACTTTCAGACACATGGTGTGTTCTTCTTAAAACTGTAGTTTGTGGGCTTTACGGGTTGTTGTTAATAAAATCTGATCCAAGACTAAAATAGCTTCCAAAAGTGTTTTCCTATAAAATGTGAAGCAGAAAAAGGACTAAAACATCATTACAAACCAGTTATGTGAAAACATTGATGTGAGTTTGGAATTACATACTGTTTAAAAACAAACCAAAGAGCTTTCAGTTCAGTTCAACAATCAACATACTTTGCAGAGGACAGGTCTCAAGAAAAAGGAATAATTCTACTCCTTGTAATTGTATTTCCAACCCCAATCACTGCAGTTAAGTTTAGTAGTGTGTTCTGTTTTACTTCATAAATAAAACTGGGTCATGCTCTCTTTGCATCGGGTTATTCAAATGACATCAGTTAGAGCACTGAAGCAATAAAATGCATTGGGTTTTGGAAACTTCCCCCAATTGAAGATGACGTGACGGAGTTCAGGCTGATCTGGTGGTCAGACTGAACTCCCAAATGGTGATTTTTTTTTTCTTTCTTCCCTTTTTACTGTGTATTGCAACATTTGGCAGACAACTTAAGTATGCAGGGTCATCTGTGCCAAATATCTCAGGCGGTTTTCCACAATGAAGTGGATAAGCAGCTTTGTTGATTGATCCAAATCAATGGGAAGTCCGCAGCTTTGCTTCTTGGCAGGTACTTAGTGGGGTTTCCTAAAATTGAGTGTGTGTGAATAAATACATTAAGTACTCCTGATTCTTGTTTGAAAACAGTACAAAAGAGGGAACACTCCTTGGAACAGGATTGTAACATAAATCATGAAGTTTGAAATAACTGAGATCAAGGGGATTATCATCTTTTTCTTAAAATGCATCTGCCACAGACACCTTTTAGTGGCCCTACCTGGCACAGCTACGTGTATTTTTACCAGTCGCTAAAGGTCCAGAAAGTATCTGATGAAGAGGAGATGCTAGATCTTAAGACAAGGGGTAAACTGGATGGAGAAAATTGATGGATGGATGCATGGATCCTTGTCAAGGCAGCAGAGAAAGGTGGATGTAATGGAGAGGAGAGGAAGGCGGGGAAGGCTAAATGAATAATGAGGATGTGGAGAACTGATGAGACGTGCAGTGCAGCGTACCTCCTCCTCCTCATGCTGGAGCCGATGCGGCTGCTGACAGGGCTGCGGTCGGCTGATGGAGAGTGTGAACTCCGATACGTTTACCCGCCATCACCGCCTCCTCCTCCTCCTCCGACGGGGCTTTAATTCCCCCCTTCTTCCTCCTCCCTTTGCTCAAATCGCATTGACACCTTGGATGCGTTCCCCCCAGGTGCTCATTTCCATAAGCTGAGAAAAACCTGCGGGTTTTTTTTTTTTTTTTGGTTTCCTTCTGGTGCGACTCCTCCTCTCTCACCCCCTTTTCCAACGCTCCTTGTGTCCGTTTTCGGCTACGCCGCTCCCCTTTGCCTCACTACTTGGACAAAAAAAAATTGTTTTGGTCTTCACCACCACACACACCTTACCCACCGACAAGTTTTCTCCGAGCTTATGTTTGCGATTTGAACGCCAAATTGGATGATAGAGCACCACGGTATCCCGGCATGTTGATCCAGATGAGGCGGGCAGGAGGGATGCGAGAGCCGGGGAGCGGAGCAGCGGGAGAGCGGCTGGTCCTCCGCGATGCTCCGCAGCAGAACCCGCGTCGGAATTATCTGAAGAAAAAACAGAGTTACAAAAAAAATATAGCTCCGAGGTCTGAGTCCGGTAACTGCCCGAACATGTTCCCCGAGTAAAACAAAAAAAAAGCAATAAGTCATGTACCTGCACGTCTGAGCTGCGGTGTGCCCGGTCCGCCTCTTCCTGTTTACCGCTCTCCTAAAGGTTTCCTTTCCTCTGCAGCTTCTTGGGGCTGACACCGACCGGCCGTGTGTTTCTCAGCCGGCCAAGGCAGCTGCTGGCCGGTGAAAGCTGTCTGTCAGACGCCGCTACACTGACGGTGCTTGACCACGTCACTGCATTCTTAGCGGAGCATCCCACGTGACCCAGTTACTCTCTTATGATGCATTCTATGGATGTGGGTAAAAATGATATCCTCCCTTCATGTCATGCAAAAACACAGCCTTAACCATACCATGTGATGTGTTTAAGGTATGCTATTTTATAGAAGAAAAGGGGATTCTGATGACCTCGTTAATTCCAGTGTTTTCTGACCCTGATCCTTGATCCTGACCCCTTATATTCCCCATGTCTCTTTAGCTCTCCACATAGGGCTGTTGAAAACTAATTAAATGAAATCATGCCTGCTCAAGCACCAAAACGTGCAAAACACTCAGAGAAGAGTGCCACAAGGGTTCATGGACAAGGGTGTATCTATAAGTTTGAGGACTATAATTATGAGAACTATCATATAGAATTGAGTCTTTTTTGTAGGATACTATGATATAGTCATGGATATCTTTGAGCTGCAATCGTAAACATGAATATATTGAGATAAAGTGTTGATATTAAATTTGGAAATCAACAGAGAGCAAACTTCCGCAAAAAAAAGAATGATTAAATAAAAAAATACATTCTGTTGTTAAAATGCTGCAATTGTCATCGACTCAAATGCAATGCCCTCTTTTTAAGATTAACAGGATAATATCTAAGAAATATTGACTAGACTGATGTTGACAATTGAATGGTATACTTTAAAGCATTCCCTAGTGATATTTTTTTACTGTATCCATGTCATGCAGTGCGTTTAGACTTGGGATTCTTCTCATAAACTCATCATGTAAGTGTTTTCTCAAAATACATTCCAATAAGTATCAAATTCGTCATCAACCTGTGCACAACTGTACATTTTACCTCCACAGCATTGCCCTTCTGTGTAACACCAAACTACATATTTGACTGTCAGAATAGTAAGAATCTTTCTTTTACATTTTATGGGTTGGTGGAAAAAATCAAATATGTAAATAAATATATGATTCAATAAAGATCCCTTACATGAAAGCTACAGTTATCAAACTGAATGTGTTACCATTAAGCTGTGCTTGAATTTAATAAAAAGCTCAGAACTTCTATATTTTCCACATGTATTTGAATGCAGCATCAGTCCCTCCATTCTTGTCTCTCCCTCACCTTCAGAGCCAGCCCCCTTATTCCCCTTCTGAAGGCGGAAAAAGGGGGATTTAACTCTGTAAAAGCATGGTGGCCAGTGGTTTTCTGGTAACCGCTGTATTTTCTTTCTCTGTTTTCTTTCTTTAGCATTGCCTGCCACTGTTTTCCCTGGACGGCAGCTTTTATTTTTCATAAATTTTTTAATTAAAAACATGATAACCTTTGCCATATTTGATGATGCATCATTATACACACATGATGATTACTGGCTATATTTAGCATGTTATCACATGTAGACTGAAAAACAAGGTATGCTCGGCAACAACCATAAATAATGTTGTACTGCTTCGAATTCAGCACAATGACAATATTGTAGATGTTTCAATAATGTCTTAAAGACTATGCAAACCTTTCAACCACCTTCAGTCATGTTAACTCTCTTGCATCTCAGGAGATGATGTGTTTCCTGTAGAAGGATCAAAACTGCTTGTCTCTTTCGTTCTGCCTGCAGAACTATAGCCGATGGAATAGTAAAGGCATGCAAAGGCAGCCCCCATCACAGGCAGAGTAAGTCAGTGGGAGAGTGGCCTCATGCAGTATTGTAAATATTGTACGGTTGCACCACAGCACAGGTGAGTGAATAATTAATAGGAACTGTATCTCTGACAGAAATACTTTGGAGGCCATTAGCTTCGCTACCTGGCCTCTGAGAGCATATTTGTCAGAAGAAAGTAATGCCGGGGAGATGATTGATTTCCTCTGGCTGCCAGGTTAGAGGCAGAGAATCTCTGTACATTAATATCATGTGGCACCTATTAGATGGGTGACTTCCTCAACTTGTCTCGCCCTGGCTGCCCCGGCTGCCCTGGCCAAGACCAGCACATCAAAATTTAAATTTTCATCATTAATTGCTGGTGCCGAGACTATATTGGAGTGCCATGTCCTATTCTCCTGCATTAACTCATTAACCGACCTGCTGCACATAGACAGAACATGTCTTCTGTTTACAGAGATGTTAACATGAACTACAGAGAGCTCTTCCTACATATCAGCAGTGAATGTTGATCTACTGAATGATTGGACTAGAAGACGAGAAAAAGCTGAAAAGTAGAAGAATAAAAAAGGGAAATGCACTGGGTTTCTACTGATTTACTCAAAAAGGCTGATATGTAATGTCTATGTCCACTGAATAGGAATGTTAAAATGTGAAAGAGCTAACATGACAGGGGAACATCATTTCAACACAGAGGAAGAATTCTCATGAAAAAAAGTCTAAGATAAAAGAAAATCACCATAGCATTGGTCTTAAATGTAAAACATAGACACAGACAGAAGAAAGATTTGAATGGATCAGAAACAACTGACAATGTTATTGTATGAAAAAGGAAAGTATCTATCTATACATATATATATATATATATATCCTAAATTAGTTGGTGAGATTAATCTTTTCCTCAATCATATGAAAGACTGTTAGCATCTGAGCAGGTTGTGTTATCTTTACTTCTGTGCTGATATGTAAAACTTTAACTTAAACTCAAAGTTTATTTTTCTTTACAATGTTTTTCTCACGTTTCGGTGGGAATTATTTTTCCCTTGTAAGTTATCTAAGGCTAATGTGATCTTAAGTGTACTTTTGGTTGTTTGGTACTTTCTCATTTACTCGCACAAGACAGATTTACTCTCACACTGCAATGCCTTTTAGGAAATGCAGTCTCAGATGAAATGTGAGCTGTTATTGCTCTTCCTACAGCGTGCAATGTCCTGTGGCAGATCCTCAAGTGTGGTGAGGAATGTGTCTGTGAATATCATTGCCTTCACTCAGGCTCAGACCTGTGTTAAACAAGTATTGGAGGTCATCTATGTGGGGAAATAACACCACACTAAGCATTAATTCGCTCATTTTAATGACAGGAAAAACGTCTGCACCCACAAAACATGCATTAACCTTTGAGCAAATGGGGGCTGCATCAAGCAAACAAAGATATTGTACTGCGGAGTCCAACACAAAAAATAAAGAACGCATCGTTAAAAAAATAATTAATGACTTGGATAAATGCTTTACATGACATAAATGATAGAGTAATATAGATATAATTGGATTTCCAGAGCAGATCAAAGAGGAAACACATCTGCAACTCATAAAAAATGTTCAGATTTTGCCGTGTTTATAAGAATTAACTGTTTGGGTTCAAAATGTTCATGAGAAAAAAGAATGTAACTGTGGCAGTAATGCGGCAGTTCATATGGCAGTCAAGGTGTCTCTTGAATGAAATTAAAGGTTTCATAGACATATTCTCAAGGCTACCTGTATGGTAATATTTGTTATCAGTCTTTCTTATCATTCTTTTTTTTTTCCATGACCACTAAACACGGTTACGGATTAGCTTTTCTTGATCCACAATGATCACTTTGCACGTCAGAAAGCCAGAAAAAAATGTTAGAGTATTGGTTGTCCGTATGTTTTAGCTGTGGTGGAAATGTGCTCATTTGTGTCACGCACTCTATGTCTTTTGGTTAGAGCTTTTCACTTAAGTCGATTCTTTTGAGGACACATTCTTAAAAACACTACCGAAGTTACCTCGTGTCTTTCTGACACCGACAATGCTGATTAATATGCTTTCATTGGTGTGGGCAATACTGACGATGAAAAAGAAGTTATGATACTATTTTTTCTTAAGATACGTATAATATACAGCTAAAGTTTGATGGTTTCAATTGTTGATTGTATGTTAAATGACAATAACATTTTACCAACTATATGCAAACGTTATATATTCATATATATCATTTTTAAGAAGTGAAATCACTGATTGTTGAATTTTCATACCCACCCTTTCTCAAGTTTGTTTTGTTCGATTGGAAACCAGAGCATTTCCTTAGAATGAGCTATGAATCATCAAATCCCTAAATCTAGAATCTTGTGATATCTTGCCTAGCACATTATTTATTTCCCGTCTATTTAGTGGAAAGATGATACTGCCTTGATTGAGTTAGACCTCATTAAGGCTGTCAAAGCAGCATAAAGAAATGCTGCATTTGACTAAGTAAGTGGGGTGAGATCGGGGTCTCATGAGAAACAATCGAGAGGTGAATTGGTTTTCACACACACACACGCTTTTGTATTCAGTCATACCAACTCACAGTACTCTTTCAGGGTCATAAATATCCTGTTGATTTTGAAGGTACCACATAAAACTTCTGAGATATTCATCTACATCATGTTGCATTTTGTTTCCTTTCTTATTATTCAGTTTTTGTGTATGATTTTTAAACGATTACCTCTTCCTGCTATCTTCTTTTGGGGATGCCGAACAACTAGATCTGGCCTTGCTTATGATGGAATGATGGTGAATTTTCCTTGAACTAAAACATTTTGCTTTTGTCGTCTATAAGCATGTGTGCTAAGAGGAGACTTTTGGTCATTTTTGTTCTTTTTGTGCATGCTCAGATATTGTAACCCTGTGTGAAACTTCCTGTCATTATGTTCTTGTCAGTTATTTTTCCTGGACACAAAAGTGTTAGAATGCGACTTTTCTCACCCATGGTTGCATGAGTGTGCAAGTGAGCATGTGTATTTGTAAAATCGCCACCGCTGTGGGTGTGTTGGTAGTGGGATGGGTAAAACGCAGAGGTCAGCTATCACTTTGAAACATGCTGGTCCTTATCTCTGTCACAAGGCCTAATAGAGTAATGAATCAACAGAAAGCCCGGGACTCTCCTGAATGGACTGCTGCTTCCTCCAGCAACACTGAGCTTTACTTCAACTGCTCTTACTGCCTCTGTAAGCATCTTTTGCCCTCCTCTGTTGTTTATGGGCCGTTTTCAGAAGTGCCTGAATTGTCACTATTGTCAGAAGTGTATTCACACATGAGCAGCCCCGCTGCGTGTTTCCACTCTCAGCATCCACATAATAACCAAAGCCTCAAATGAATAGGATGGAGGGTCTTTCTCAATGGAAAGGATATGGTGGAAAAAGGGGAAAGAGGCATTACAACCGCTGTAAGC